GTTGCCGAAGTCTCCTAATTACGAGGTTCAAGTTTAGTGAACCAGCCAATCTTGCAATATCTTGCGTGTTGCCACTCCAGGCTGTTCGCAGTCCTTTTCGATCAGGGAGACTGGTGCCACCGGGAGTGGGAGCTTGATGAAGAGATGCGCGTTGTCATTCAGCAGGCCACGCAGTCTGCCGTTGCAGTCAGCTGCAGTGTCTCGTTGATTCTGCAGCACATGTCCCTGCAGATTTTGGACCTGGGCCTCTGTGATGTTGAGCAGCGTGCTCAAGCCGATGCCCTGCTTCAGAGAATCGGGCAAGGGCCTCAGCGTGTCGCACGTTTGGGGAGGGGTTGGGAAGTAGGGTTTCGGGTTTAGGGTTTAAGGAATCCGGGCACACCAAGCTGCATTCTGTGCACGTCACAAGATACTTGCCGTGGTTACCGTTGCTCCGAGAGTGAACCATTTGTTTGCCACCTTACCGTCAGTATTTTCAGCACTGTCAGGCCCGAGGAGGAGTCAGACGCCCGTGCCGGCTCCAACTTGCCGCGACCGTGGTGGCCGCCTGACCCGAGCTCCAAGTCGTAGCCCAAGTTTCCTGCAGACATCCCTTCTGGATTCTGGATCCTTCGAGTCAGACTTTGCCAAGCTTCAGGTCTGACAAAGTGGATGCTTTTGAAGACCAGTACCCTCAGGAGGAAGCGGATATGGGCGACGCAGAGGCGCTTTGCGATGTGCAGAGTCTCGCACTATCTGCCAACTCGAAAAGCCCAGGTGACGGGAACTGGCCAGTCCGGCTTTCTACAAAGCTCAGGACAAGCTGGCTCTGCTGGCTCCATGGCGACCACTGTGAGCACCAGCTTCTGAACTCTTTTGTTGTAAATTTCCGTTTGACATGCTAACCCTTCCAAGCCAAAGATCTGAGGAGTTGCAGGTGGCAAGCAAGACGAGACTTGGCTTGAGTATCTCACATGCAGCTTGAGGTGCCAGTTAGATTTTCCATATCGAGGAGTTCGCAGAGCTTTGGCAAGTCACCGCAACTCGCGTCGGCCGACACCTCAAGATCTCCGATCAGGACCCGGCGCCTGGCGTTGCTGCCATCTACCACTTCAGTCTGACAGCATTTCGTATACTTTGCATACTTTGCATGTCGCCAGATGCTTTGTATACCGTTGCTCAGTGAACTCTCCGTCCGAGGACCGCGAGCTGCACTCACGGCACGCGCAGCCCTTCCGCACCCTCGTTGCTTTGCTAAATTCCGTTACTTCAGCACTCAAGTGCTCAAGTGCAAGCTGTGAGGTTGTTTAAGCTCTCGATCACCTATTTGTCTGGGGTTCATGCAGATCAACATGTGGTCGCCAATTGACCATACCCCTGAACTGTCCACATATCACTCACCCTCACCTTTAGTCTAAGCAGTACTCAACATCCCCTATGGGCATGCCCTGAAAGGGATATTAAGGGGTATGCTGAGATTCTCCTTCAGAGGCCCATTAAGGATGACGGGGTATGGGTTCCCCGACTTTCCGCAGCGGATGTTCAGTCAAACCTACAGCCAACGCTAAAGTGACTGTCTGTCTCGCTCTGGCTCGTTCTGGCTCGGTCTCCCTCGCTCGCTTTCCATCGCTCTCTATCGCTCGCTCTCTCTTTTTTGGCGGCAAAACACGCGTTAAGGCAGAACACAAAAATGTCTTTGCAATTTGCGTGTCCCCGTAACTTGTGCTTTCAAGGTGGAGATCAATCGTAGCGTCTACGGATAAAAGAACTATTTTCTTTGTTTCCTGTCAAGCCGTGCAGAGATCTTAGGCTTCTTTCTGTTCTTGCATATTGTTGAGATATTCGATTCGATGGCATGTTGGCACTCAAGTCCTGCAAAGTTTGTAAAGTGAAGACGGTTTGTTTCCTGCCATTCGCTTGTCCATTCTCATCAGTGTTATCATGCCTGTCCACCTGTCCGTTGCCGTCATCTGACTGAGGAGTTCTTGCTGCTTGTTTTCTCGCGTCGCTTGTAGCGCAAGCGTCTCTGTGTGACTACATGCACTGCTTTTTTCAATTTCTGTTTTGGTTTATTTGTTTGTGCTGTCACGCCGTTGTAATTTGTCATTCTGGCGCTTGTTGTTCAGAGTTGGAATGTAAAATAATCCGCACGTGCACGGTTGCCAGGCGGAGGCAAGCCGAACTACAATTGCAATAGCAGGTAGGAGGGGAGAGATTGCTTTAATCATTCATAACTTTGCTGACATGTTAGTGTTGCCTCCGTTTGCCCATCCAGCCTGCACGTGTTGATCCTTCCGAGCTTGGGTTGAACCCCGCCACCCGAAAGCAGTATGCCACCTGTAGTGTGCGCAGTAAGCTTATGAAAGGAGGCCGTGTAACGCCTAAATGCAGCAGCTCGACGCCTCAACTGTAGAAACTTGAGAACACCCACGTGGGGAACACGCAGAAAGGAGGAGCGGGATGAGCAAACATGCCCGCAATCTAAACCCTAAACCCTAAACCCTAAACCGCAGTGAGACTAAGGTTGAAGGCGAAGCCAAGTCCAGCGCCGAGATGGACCCGGTCCTACCACGAGGCCAGTGGGAGAAGTGGGCCAGAAAAGCGCCTCGGTACTTGCACCACGGAGTATCAACGTATTCAGAAACCTAAGCTCCCGATCAGGACTACGAATGCCTGCAAGCACCAAGCACGTTCGAGAAGAGGAGGATTTAAAGGTCCCCTCCTCAGTTGACTTAAGTTTGGTGGGCAGCTTTAGCTTAGAGGCTTAGTGTTTCCATGTCAGTGTTTCCCCTTTCGTGTTGCCTCGCTGCAGGATTTCATGTACGAGCTCGTCGAGCTGGACGATAGCAAGCTTGCGGCCAACTTGCGAGTTGACGTGAATCTCTGGCGTCGCCTTCAGCTTGCGTGGCTTGTCAGAGCAAGATGCTAGCCTCTAGAGTCAGTCGAGAGTCCCTCAGGTGAGCTTCTTAAATTGCTTAGGGCCCCCGGGCACTGTTGCGCGACTTTGGTCGCACGTGGCTGGTGCGCAAGAAAGCCAACCCACACACATTCCCAGAAACTCTCTTCTCTGAACTATTTGCTTGCAATTCTTCGAGCAAGATACAGTTGACTGCTTGACCTCGCCCGCAGGCACTCAAGTTTTGAATTGATCGGCACCGATGAAAAGACATGGAATGTGCAGCAAGATCTGCGGGAGAAGATGAACTCTTTGGGCATGAAGCTCTTCTTCGAAGAGAATGCGCCCCTGCAGGAAGAAGAATAGCTGCTGCATGTTGGTGCTGATCATTGCTGAACTTGAAGAAGCCAAGCTAGAGTGCGTACTTGCTCACTGCTGGCTTGTTCAGGTGCTGATGGAGCTGATGATGGAGGTGCATGTTACCATAGAAGCTCGAGATGTCCGGGCGGCCTTGCGCATGGCGGGCCAGGTCGGGGCACCAGGGATATAGGTCAGATTCTTCATGTTGCGGATCATGTTTGCAGGTCTTCACAAGAGGGGTGGGGGGGGTGGGGGGGGGGGGGGGGGGGGGGGGGGGGGGGGGGGGGGGGGGGGGGGGGGGGGGGGGGGGAGCATGACTGCTTTCTGTGAATGTTTGCATGCTCAAGGCGCTCCGTCCAGGAGGACAAGCCACCCTCAACCTGACGCCGGAGATGGCCCGCGATCTGAAATTCACTGGCGGCACTGTTCGGGTCAAGCAACTACGAGAGGACCAAGGACAAGTCCTTGTTGGACGCTCAGATGGATGGGAGGCCTGGGTGAATACAAAGTTCGTCTTCTCAGCTGACGGGCAGGACGGGACTTTGCCGGGGAGTGAGGTCGTGAACTGCAGAGACTGTTACTTTCGTTTTTGAGAAACATCCGCTCCTCCTCCCATGGTGGAACACGTGGGACATCTTGCCACCCAGCTGGTGTGTTGTCACAGTCTCAAGGGGTCGACAGGACGCTGACATCAAGGAGACGGTGGACAGGGACATCACAATGAATCAAGTGTACTTCGAAGTCGAAGTCAACAACACTGACGTTGTTTTCCTCGAAAACTTCTCGCGCCCCGACTTAGCAGCATTGACAGCCAGCTGTCAGAGAAACGAGTCGCAGCTTGCTCTGGGTCAGCTCTAGCTGCTATGTGTTGCAATAGCGACCCCTTGAGGTATACCCTCGGACGGAAGAAGCTTGTCCTTCAACTTCTTGGAGCCAACACTGCCCAGACCTTACAAAGTGGTGTTGCTGAAGGATGCTCAACACGGCCACAGCTGTGCGTTCAAGCGTGTCCTGATGTGTCTTGTGCGGTTCATCTGGTTGGGACGCAAGTGGACATGTGCGAGATCTGCGAGTAAAGAAACCTCGAGTCTGCTTGAGGTGACCATGCGGTCACGATGTCTGCTCGATATGCCTGGCATCACCGTCACTGTCGCCAATCCTCGGCTGATAGCTTTGACGAGCCCCACAAGTTTTGATGCCGACGTCATACAGAAGGCTCTTGGCATGTTTCCAGGGATACTACCAAGTTCCAATCGCGCCGCAGTTCCTACAGTTCCAATTCAGCTGCTACAGGTGGTGAGCGTGGGCAAGCAGCAGCACGCTGTCTCCAATGAGCCTGGCATCGAGCTGCAGGAAGCTGCTTGATGTTCGCCGAGTTGATTTTCTCCGAGTTCTCAACTTGCTAACTGTGTCACACGTCTGGACCGGCTCTGTTGATGGATGAGTCAGAAGATCGTTGGAAGGACGGGCAGACGCTTGAAGCGCTTGAGTCCATCGCCGATAAGAGAGGCCTTGCCCGAAAGGTCATCCACCACATGATGCCGCGATACAGGCTGGAGCTTTCAATATCTTTCAATATTCTGCAGTCAAGAAAGTACAAAATAAGTGTAGAAATCTCATGTGCGGCAACTCGGCGAGGAATATTCTGGTGGACATCATTGAGGAGCAGTGCTTCGGACTGAGCGGTGGCAATTTGGGACTCGACCGCGTGAGGCAGGAAGTGGGTGCATCACATCAGCCCATCAGGTCCCAAAAAACCCGGGGGAGTAGGGATAAGGCGGGATAAGGAGGCCTCTCCGTGCACCTTTTCCCCAGGAAGACCCACACCTGTGATGCCAGGGTGATGTGAGGGGGTTCCTGCCACGCAAGAAAAGCCGTCGACTTTGCTCCACTGATGTACAATCGGACTCAGTTGCAGGAGTGTATGTATGATGAAAATCACATGGGTTTAAGCTAAGTCCTGTTTTGTTTTCAAGGCAAAGCCGTTGTTTGTAACGACGCAACCGGTGAATCCACGACACTCTCGATTCGCCCCGACTTTCCTACGGTCGTACGATTTCGGGCGGTTCTTGCGCGGTGCCTGGGCGTCCTGGCAGGAGGTTCCGGTCCCTAACATGGGGTCCCCTTGACTGCACCGGTACCTTGGGCCTCAGGGGCTGAGAGGTCTCATGGGAGTTCTATATAGCCCAAATTGCCGCAAATTGGCGCGAGGGGTCCTAGAGTCCTCTCGAACGCATGCGTCTCCCTGACTAAGCATTTTCGCCTTGCATGGATACCATGGGAAGGCTCTCGCGAATCCTGGAGGCTGAGCGCCTTGCCTGAAATTTGTGAGCTTCCAGGTGGCGCAGGTTAACGCACGCTTCCGCATGCTTCCAGGAGAGCAAGCGAAACCCTCAACCAGTTTTTGCAGCACTGTAGCACCTTTCAGGCTATGCACTGGCGAGAGAAGAGAGAAGTACGCAACGGGCAATCATAAATGGACACAATGCCGCCGATGCAATGCCTGCTGCAAGGGAAAAGCCAGAGCAACGGGATGCAAAGAAGCCGACTAGGCTGTGTTCGTGTTCTGGGTTATTCTGGGGTTAGAAGTTATAGGTCTACCTGCCTTCAGTGGGAGGGAGAGAGAAGGAAGCCAAGATGACGTGCAAACACGGCATTGCTAAATCGACAGGAATCGTAGCGTTTTTTAAGCACAGGGGCATTGACAAGAACGACGAAAACACAAAAAATGACAAACACATCAGAAGGAGAGGAGGAAGAGGCTACAAACAGAGCAACACGGGCATGCAGACGTGATCAGGCCCAAAAATCTAGCAAACCTTCCAAGATTCCGAGCAAAACAGGAAGACGAACAGATTGCAGGTGACAGCATAGCCTTTGACCTCCTAAACCTGAAGGTCGGAGCAGTCGCAAGAATTGATGCCAGGAAAATCATGGCACCCAAAAAGTCTCGGGTTGGGGGAGAAGGGCGTTGTGGCTCAAATTTGTGACAGGGCCCTCGCTGCATTTCAGGCATCAAGATGTTGTCGCCATGATCAACAGAGCGTGCAGCCACTCGACCACATCTGGGTGAGGCTTCTTGTGCATAGATTTCGACGAGTGACCAGAAGCACGGGTTTGAAACATTTTGACACCATCATCCTACGCTGTAGGCTACGTGATGCTGGAGCACCTTCTCATCAAGCTGGATATTGAACGTGGAGATTGGGAGTTGCAGGCGCCACCACCGAGTCAACGCTGTGGCTTGTTTGCTCTCCACTGGCCGGTTCAGGTTCAAACGACCTTCCCAAATTTGATGCCTGCATCTTGACAGCAGAGTGGAGAAAGCATTCCTGAAGCGTTCTGCTTCGAGCTAACAAAGGTGTTCGAAACCCTCAGCGAATATGCGTTCGATGAGATCAACGATTCGGAGGCAGCCGTGACATGCTGACTTCATAGCCTGCTGTTGGCATCAAAAATCTGCACTCGTAAATTTTCAATGCCTTGTTGATGGCTGAGTTCGATTCGAAGACTTGGCTGCCAAAGCCTCGAGACCCAAGCCGATGCTGCCAAGTTGCCGACAGGTTCCGCTGGTGCTTTGTCGCGAGCCTGAGGAGGACTTGCCACTTTCGCTGTAGAGAGCGCTGCTGGTAACTTGTTGACATTCAATTGGCAGGAGCGAATGGAGACCTTACGATCGTGGGTCTTGCGAATTTGCCATGTCATTCGGACTGTGGCATTCACAAATCAACCTCGCCTCAGCTTCGCGAATCTTGGAGCAATTTCAATTATCGGTCTTGCGCTGGCATCAGACGCTGTTCCAAGGAGTGATGGCGGACAGGCTGGTTTGGGCGAAGAGGAGGACATGCAGCCTTGATCAGCATTTAGGATGGCAAGACGCCTCCAGTCGCCCACGCGGCCCAGGAGAACATCTTTGAAAAACTCTTCGATGACACCGGGGAGATGCTGTTGGCACGCGCGTGTCTCTTGAAAGCACTGAGCCGAGAGCTATAAAGCGATGTTCGATTGCCCCAAGTAAAACGGACTGCATTCAGTAGGGGCAATGTCGAATCGTCGAAAGTATGTAGAAGCAGTTGCCAGGGGCCAGGGGCTTAACAAGAGAAGAAGATGACTAAGTCTTGCTTGCTTGTATTCCTGTTGTTGAATCGGCCATGAATTGGACTCTCTTGTGGTGAGTCTTGCGCATAGGCATTGAAGGGTAAATCTCTACGACATCGGTGACTCCCTCAAATGAATCGTTGTGTTCTGGTGGGTTTTCTTGGGGAAGGGGGGGAGGGGGTAGGGCAGGGTCGATACTTCGCTTCCGGATCGGAGGGCTATAGCCAGGGTCGTAAGGCTGCGCGATTCGGTCATGACGCTCATCATACTCATCATACTCCGTGTAGCCCGAACCTAACTTCGCTCATGATGCTGCTCGGGTCGAGCAGCTCTTGGCAGTTGATAGCTTTTGACCGACGCGGCATCTTCGTGCATCTTCGTACTTAGTGGTGCCTCCTTCTACCAGAAGTGGACACACCGGGTCCACTATTGGATCCTCAGCAACCAATGCATGCGCCCCGATGGTGGGATTGCAAAACGAAGGTCGATGGTAAAAAGTACAATGTAAATACAAGGGATGAAGGGGCCACAGCAGGAAGCACGACCGGGCGCACAGGGGATCAGAACATCGGGGTAGGGCAGAAATGGGAAGAATTGGAATTGGCTCTGGGGTGCTAGATCAAAACGCAGGCGTGACCAGGCGGGGTGGTATGAGTGGCACAATCTAGCATCTAGCCCAGAAGGGAGGCTGTCGACGGCTCATGCAGCTCAAATACACGCTATCCTGTAGTCCATGGACATGTTCTAGTCTTATGTGTAGTTGCTGAATGAGGCTGCGCTTCCTTGCTCAACATCCTGCAGGACGATCTCGCACTGCGTCATGCTGCGCTCTTGGTCTAAGGGTTGTTCGTTCCCGCTGATGTCGGGTCCTAGGTTGTGCTTTGATCCCAATCAATTCCTACGGGCCTTCCATCTGTCAGATAGAACAATCCTTCAGTCCAAATGTTCTTTTCAAGTTCTTCTTTGAACGGCTCTTTCATTGTGATCGTTCTTCCCTCTTGTTCACTCTTTATCTCAGCTCTATGGACCCTTATTTCTGTGACGGTCCAACTTCGGTGAAGCCGGATACTCGCCACGTTCCTTTCACCATGCAGTCTCCGATTGAAGACTGAGAGCCGGTTCACGTCCCCTGGATGTTCTCAGGCGTAGGCTCTCACAACATCTACATACGCAGGGTAACTGCGATGACCCCGGTACACCGTTGCACAGCTCCGTTCTCCAGGACGGAGTTATTAGTCTTATACTGGACGGCACGTTTAGGCCCGGATTCGAGAGACCATGAAGGCGGGGAACCGCGCTTTCGCAAAGCATCCATGCAGTGTTCGGACCCTTCACGAGATGGGGCCAGTATCTGCATTAGCTTGAAGCAATAGAAGAAAGTACTTAAAGTAGGGCAGTGTATCCTGTGAATCCTGTGGCAGTGTTTGGCTCAACCGACCTTCGGCGTAGCGTCTGTCCTGCTGTAGTGTCTTGAAGCATGCCAGTAGTAGATGTCAAAGCGCTTGCGGCCAATACAGCGAGCATCCGCTGCATCAGCATCATCGACGGCTTTGAGGGGTCTGCGAAGCAGCAGGTTCTGGAGTGTTTGAAACAGACCGGCCATGGAGCACAGGCCGTGTTGCACTCATGTTGTCTTGTGTTATCTGTTATCTGGTGTTGCTTGCTCGGCTCTGAACCCCTTATGAGTTAGACCCTCTCTCCTTCGAATGCTTGAGGATGGCTACGGGGGCACCATGCTGATACGAGAGTACGACAGGGATGATGGAACCGGCGAGCGGCCCTTTCTCCTGAATGTCGTCGAGACACCACTCTATGCGGAGATGGCGAGCTCTACTCTTCGGCTGGTGGATGGTGCTCTCGTCGTCACGGACATCGTGGAGGGACTCACTGTGAGACAAGAAACGATGCTTCGCAATGCCCTCACAGCCCGCGTCAAGCCGTGCATCTTGGTCGATGGGATCCTGCACAAGGCAACGATGCTCAATTGGAGCCCGGAAGAGGTTTACATGTATTCCAGCAGGGCCATCGACAGTACGAACGTGGTCATCGCCACCTACAATGACGAGCTGATGGGTGACGTGCAGGCGCTTCCCGAGAAAGGCACAGTGGCATTTGGCGAGACGTCACAGGGATGGGCATTCACTCTGGATTTCTTTGCCGACATGTACGCGGCAAAGCTCGGTGTGTTCGATGAAAAGATGCGCAACAGGCTTTGGGGTGACAACTTCTTCGTGGCCAGGAAATGGCGCACGGAAGGTGATGCCAAGAGCCGTGGTTTCAACCAGTTCGTGATCGCCGCGATCCAGACGCTGGCTCACGCAGTCCAAAGTGGAGACGATGACAAGACCAGCAAAATGCTCCAAGCCCTCAAGATCAAACTAGATGCTGACACGCGAGACCTGGAACCTCAGAAGAAGTTGGTCGCCGTCATGCAAGCGTGGCTGGGCACTAACTCCCTCTTCGGCATGCTCGTCGCACACCTGCCCTCTCCAAAGAAGGCCCAGAAGTACCGTGTCCAAAATCTCTACACGGGTCCCATGGACGACGCGGCCGCCGACGCCATGCGCCGCTGCGACCCCTCCGGCCCACTGATGCTCTATGTGAGAAGGCAAGCTTCTATGCCTTCGGCCGCGTGTTCTCCGGCACCGTTTCCAAAGGCCAGGAGGTGCGCATCCAGGGGCCCAGCTACAAAAGGGGCTTTGCACCGGACTTGCACGTGAAGCATGTGGAGACGGTGCCTGTCTTGATGGGGGGTCTGCCGTATGATTCCGTGCCTTGTGGCAACATCGTGGCCCTAGCGGGGATCGACGACTTCATCGTGAAGACAGCCACGCTGACCACCCTGCAGGACAGTCTTGCATCTTCCACATTGCTTAACGAAGTTAGCACTTCTCTCTGAGCTTTGTTTTGCAACATATTACTAGCGTGCTTGGAGGACGCTGGCAACTTTGCGGGCCTCAGCCAATCCAAGAGCGCTCTCGTGCGGGTACCCGTGATCGCAGAACCGGCTGCAGAGCTGCCCAAGGTCTTGGAGGCCTCTGACAGAGCCGTCTTTGGGGTTTTGGTTCTGAGCGGAGGTTTAACTGCTTCTTACTCTTCTCGGAAGGCGCTGAAGCGACTGTCCAAGAAAGACCCGCTGGTCACCTGCCACGGAGACGAGTCGGGGCGGCAGATCGCGACGGGCATCAGCGAACTGCACGCAGGAGTCACCATCAGTGAGCTGGTACAGGACAGGTTGAGAGGGTGGTTCGCTAATTCGCTACAACCGCTTTCACCGTTTCTTCTGTACAACTCCACCCTGACAACGCTCTGAGCTGACAGGATTGTCCCAACGCCAAGCCTGGCGAGATGTCCGTCATCTACCGGGAGACGGTGCAGGAGATCAGCCAACCACAGGCTGGCAAGGACTCCGGCAACCAGATCTCCTTCAAGGCCGAGCCCCTGAGCGAGGAGCTGTGCCAGTCCCTCGACGAGGGCCCCCTCTCGAAGGCTTCTCGATGTTTCTCGTGCCCCGAGCAGTGTTCTCCGGAGCCTCGGGGTTATAAACTTTAGACTGGAGACTATATACAGACTATATAGACTATATATAGACTATATATAAACTATAGAGGTGGACGCGGAGGATCGGGCGAAGAGCTTGGTCGAGACCTACGGCTGGGACAGCGATGCGGCCAGCAAGACTCGCGACTCAAGTTGCCCACGCATTTTTTACCTGGAAACCATCTCATGGTGTCAGGGTCGTTTGTACGACGTACTGGATGTGTGGCACACAGATTGAGATGCACGTGTGTCTCTTCCGCTTCAAGCCTAATTAAAGCCCATCCCTTCCCACGCCTTACTGAAGCGGAGTTAAAGATCGACGCCTCAGGGTCTGGTGCTTCGGACCAGAGGGCGAGGGGGCAAACGTTCTGGTCGACAGCCAGGAGTACCTTCGCGAGATCCAGGAGACAAGTTTCGCAAGCCAGTCCAAGCCCTACTTAGAGCTGCCCCAAACTCCTCTCGAAGCCGCCCCCCAAGACGCATCGGTAGGATTCCACGCTCGCAGCTTTCCAGTGGGTCACGAAGGAAGGCCCTCTCTGCGAAGAGCCTCTGAGAGGCACGAAGGGTTTAACTGAACCCCGATTTCATAGAGCCTTTGATTCCTGTTCTCAAATGCAGCTGCTCGTTGTTGGCAATTCTTGGCCTGTGTTGGTCATCTCAATGCACACTACGACCGCAGATACCGTGCTGTCTTGTGTTCCCGTCTCTCCTTTGTGCTGATTCCTCTCCTCTTGCAAATGCTGCCGCGATGCCGCACAGTGGCATTGTCAAAGGCATCCGCTTCAACATTGTTGGAGCTACCTTGGCCCCGGATGCAGTCAAGAACGGGGCAGGCCGGGCTGCTCTGCTGGACCTTGGGTGGGCGGGAGCCATATGGAGCCATGTCTGCATGGGCAGGTCAGATCTTGGAGCCCTTCCGCCGCGGCTGCTTTGCTGCAGAACTCGCGGGCAAGCCCACGCTGTGCGAGCCCGTCTTCATGGTCCAGGTCATCGCCTATAGACGTGGATGAGGGTAGCGGGTAGCAGCATTTGCTTGAAGAATCTGCTTTTCTGTGTTAAGATGGCTTCTGCTTCAAGAGGGCAAGTTTGGACAGAGGCAGACACTCACAGCGTTGCGCAGCACCAGCCAGTCACAAGACTTCGCAGCAATCAAGTACCGGATTACCGCGACTTCAGGTGGACTGCCCGGAAGCCGCTGTGTCGGCCGCCCGCAGCACCGTTGAAAAGCGCGGAGGGAAGGTCCTTGAAGAAGTTACCAGGGCAGGCACTCCGCTCGTGAGCTTGAAGCGCCTTGGAGTGTGGACCTAGATGGTTTTCGCATTCCCCCCCTATTCCCCTTAGATGTTGAGTGGCAGCACAGCTCGCGTTTGCCGAGGTGCCACTTGCCCGCTGCCAAGGCCTTCGGCTTCGTTGCCGAGCTCCGCCAGAACACAGGCGGACAAGCATTCCCGCAGTTCCGCTTGGACCATTGGTGGGCGGCCCAGGGCAGAGCACGTGCATGTGGCCTGGCGGCTGGTGCCTTTGTTTCCTTTCGTTTCAGCCTCAGGCAAAATGTGAGCCTCGGTGACGCCATGGATGCTGGCAGCAAGGCGGCCGAGCTGGTTCTGAACATCCGCAAGGCCAAAGGCCTCAAAGAGGCGCTTCCGTCCCTGGCAGACTACGCAGCCTAGGGCTGGTTGTAGGCACCCAGAAAACGTCGGTTGTTTTTTCTTTGCTTCTCAGAAGCGAAACTGGTCCAAGCGCGGCAAATGCCGCTCCAGGATCTGGATCTTTTGAGATCTGAGTCCTCTGCTTGCAATGTCTTGATATGTTTTGCACAATAAAAAATCTCAGCGCCACCTGGACCTGCTGTCCCTGCGTGAACCGCCTCGAACTGCACGGAATACCCATGCGAAGGCTTGTGTCATTGGGGAAAAGTACCGTGTGATGCCTGGCCATGGCCAATCTCCAAAGAAGACAAGCGTGTTGTGACTGTCACGCCCTTGCATTTTCCCGCAGGAAATCTTCACCCGCCAAGACGATGTCGAGGCAAAGTTGGGCACCTGCATCTCCCGAAAGATGCAGTGTCGACCGGTAATCCCGTGTCCTTTGGATGACGTGTATTGAAGACATGCAGGAGATTTGGGAGAGGTGGACGCCAGCTCAGCAGACCAGCCACCAGTTCCTGAAGTCGCTGCTTGCCGTGGGTTAAAAAGTTGCCAGAGCTGGGTTGACCTGATTGCAGCTTCCTAGTGCCTGCAACCCAGTGTGCTTTATCGACCAGACAAGGTTTGTCGTGGAGAAAGCAATGTTCTTTTGCCCCTTCAGTACCGACAAGGGGGACATGAAAAAGAAGGCGGATGGCATCGGAAGACCGAACTCGCATGCATGAAGTCTTAGCAGCTCTATTCACCAAGTGCGATTCTCAAATTCCAACTTCCTGGCTGTCAGGTCAGGCTGCGACTGGTACGTTTCTTCGAGGATGCGCAAGTTGAGCCGACGGACCCATTGCGGCTTGTTCCAGCTGCTCGCCTACGGCCGCCTTTGTGGGAGCTCTTGTGGAATAAGCCTATGCCTGTGCGAAGGTTGCAAACATGAAGCCGAGGAAATGCTGTATCATCCGGATGTGTGGTTGCGGCTGGAAGCTTTGAAGCTGGGATGTAAGCTGCTGGAAGATGCGGATCAGAGGCTTCAGGAAGCTTTCCGCAAGTGGCTCGGTTCTATTTCAATTCTAAACGCTTGTGCAAGCCGGGCTGGCCCAACGCTGGGTGGTCTTCAAGGGGTGACTCAAGCTGGAATGATGGCTGAAACCTGGCTCAAGAATGTCAAGCGCTCAGGTTTGACTCGCCACAGCTCAACCTGCAGAAGGCACGAAACCAGCTTCGAAGATGACATGATGTGACTTCAGATTAACGGGCGCAGCCATCGCAGGCACTTGCCTACCAATTCAGCAGCTTCCATAATCACGAGCAACACGGCGATGACGAGACCAGGGTAATGGACGTCATGCTCAGGACAGTTGAGAGCAGTGGCCGAACAGTCAAAGCAATGCTGGACCACGTTTCGTGCAGGAAAATTCAGAACTTGTGCGAGGGTCACAACTCTGAGCTTCAGGCCGCCAGAAATCGAATAGTTGAATGTCCCCAGAATGGGAGAGCATGGATGACAGTAGTCTTGCAATGATAGCATGAGGCGTTCGTTGGTGAAGATCTGTCGATTGAAGACAAAGACTTCGCAACTCTGTTGGCAGAATATCTGCAGAGGACAGTCACGCATGCAGAGCTCGTTAGAGCACGCTTGGCGCTGTTTCCGTGTTCGCAACAGTTGGCAAGACACCATTAATGTTCACGCTGGCAGGAACGAGGATGACGATGATGACGACCAGGATCGTGGCATGGAAGGGCCGACCAATCTGGTTGAGTGGATATGCACCCTCGCTCGGCAGACCATCGACGATTGGCGGCACGCATCACGAAGCCTGTTTTTGTTTCATATCACGCCCCTTTTCATGTCCCTACGCTGTCATCGCATTGAGGATCGGATGAAGTCCGACCAGCAATGGCAGGTGTCGATGAGTGGGTCAGAGACGAAGTACTCCATGTTGAAGCAGCTCTTTGATACAGCCGCTGAGATTGTGCAAGGCTAGCTGCACCATGGATCGGCCACAAGATGCAGGATGTTCAGTAGGCACAACACCAGCTAGAAAAATGAGAGGCCCTGACCGCGGCAACCAGCGCTTGCTGCTGGAAAGCGTGGCTTGCTTTCATGAAGCGGTTGCGATTTTCCATTTTCCATGTTAGACAAGAGCAACCTCAACGCTCAGTCAAGGAGATTCTTCTTGACGTGAACCAGCTCTGGATCCGACAGCGCCAGGGTCTCAAGCACCAAGCATCGCCAAGCCCTTTAGAAACCCTAAGCCGGAGTTGTCAATGGCGCATTGGAGGTGCGCATGCCCCGCATAACTAAGCTTTGTTTATTCCTCAAGATTCCTCAAGGCTGTGAGGCCCCTTCCCGAAAGAAGCTGTGTTCATGACCCTGTCTGCAGTTCATCTGCGGTGCAAGAAGCACATGGATATGTAGCTGCTGTAGCTTTTGCACCCGCTCAGCCGGGACCGATTGTGCAACCATGGGGTGCGAGGGTAGTGGGGAAAGGTGTGCCAAAATCTTCTGTTAGGCTACTGTACCAGTAGAGGCATCTAAAGTTGGACATGAGGCCTGGCTGTGGAGTCGTTGACCGACACAGCTTTTTGCTGCTGCTGTTGCTGTTAACATCAATGGAAAGCTTTGGAACTCTCATGGCGAGTTTTCCAGTTTCCTGCCCTTGGGACCCTGAAACACTGGCACGCAGGGTGATCAGACCAAAGATAAACATGAAATCGGTGAAGCACCGCCCGCTTTTCGGAAGGCCTCCTTTGCATTGTTCGGCGTGCATCCCCGATCGATAACGTTTCCTTGCATTCATCCCTCGACTATGACGATGCGAATCTCTACTTTCCGCTGCTCTGTATTTTACGTGTGTTCTACAATCACACAGCTAGCTGCTGGGAGCCTAGCGACACAAGTACCACAGCGGTCTTGGGCCGAGACTTTGAGGTCTTCATGTATCAGTTTCTGCCTGCGCTTCCAAGTCTGCGAGTGTACAACTGAACTCGGTCTTACAGTTCAGAAAGACTGAAAAAAGAGGGCGGGGGCAGTCCTCATGTATGCTCGCAGCTCGAAGTCGTTCGCGGATGGGCCAGTACTCGTAGTAGACTGGTTTTCGCCACGTGCTGTCCAACATACGTTTCCTCTGCACCCTGCATGCCTCAAGCACTCCTCTTGCACTGCTTCGGACTGCATAAACCTTAACTCTGCCTAAATCATCGCGAGCGCTCAGCCGAAAATTTCCGACTAAACTCAGCCGAAAGAGTAAACACGCCGACTACTTCCTATTCAAGGCAAGCTTGTTCAAAGCCAGGTCCCGCGGCCTGGCCACAACGAGCACCGCATGTCTGCAAAAAAGCTATGGTGTATCGGGGTTACTACTAAGTTACTTTTCAGTTACTACTAAGTTCTACTACCATGTCAAGCCCACACGCCTGGCATCTCACAGCTGCGCAAGTGAGCCTTGACAAGCGGAGCGGGCAGCGAAGCAAATGTGGCCATGCCACGATTGACAAGAAACAGTTCCCCCTTATCACAACAGGCCCCCAATAAATTACGACATCCCGAAACCCTAAACCCTAAGCCCTAAACCTTCTCCACCCTTTTGCCTCCGCAGCAGCTCGAGGTACCGATGAGTTTACCTTCCGGGCGCTCCTCCAGGACAACGAGGACCTCTTCGAGTCCTTCATGAAGCTGCTGCGATCCATGCGCAGCTGCCACTTTGCCGGACAACATGTTTCGCCGACTCCTTGGCCAAATAGGGCATAGGATGGCCTAGAGCTTAGGACGTCAGGTGGGAATACCCGGCTATGGCTAGCACTTGATTTCGTTGGTGTGTCTGGGCTACTAGTACTATTTATGTACTGCCTCCCCCTGCAGAATGTGCCAGGGAAAACCTATACCCATCTAAACCCATCTAAGCCTACTTGAGTTAGACTGTTGTCATGTCGTCCTTGCTGATGCTCATGCCTACCCCGTCTTTGTTCATTGGGTAGTATCCCTCAAAGTACATGCTAGTTTCTGGCACACTAGATTCTAGATGTTTGTGGTGACAGCCCTGGACGAGAGCATCACGAGCATCATTGGGCCTTTGCGTGCCCCCGCAAGCGCTGATGATTCTCACGTTTTGGGCCGACAAGAGTCCCGATCCGGTATTGCTTCTGCTGGCATGTGGATGGAAACCCTGCCCCTAGCCTGACCGACTCACGCATGGCTCGCCTTGCGAAAGTCGGGGGAAACGAGGGGTCGATGATGCTTGCACCCTGAACCCAAAGGGTGAACATCATCGATACCTACTGGGGCTGCAAGAGTCGATGATGCTCGCCTTTGTGGGCAAAGCTGAGTTACACGCTGGGGGCCGCTGCGAAGGTCCCTGGTGGTGTTGGAAATCCAAGACTTGTAAGCTGTGCAGAAATTTCTTTGCAGGGATCATCCATGTGCATGCAATGAGTTCACAAGAATTCAAAAGACGCAAGCGCCCTGAAGCCGAAACCTGCTTCCTAAGCCCTGATAGAGTGAATCCAAGGTAAATCTCTAATGCGATCCCTAAACTACTAAGCTACATGTCTTGATTCCTGCTATGGCTATGCCCGAAAGCAAAAACCGGCTGCAAGGTTTGTTTTCTTTCTGAAGTGACACCGAAAGATCTGGGGCAAAAACCTCACCAATATGGCATTTCCCAAAGTAGGGGCACCGGGGTACTCCTGATGTAGGCCACGCTCTTTGCTTTTTCGCAGATTTAGGTTTGCCTCGCAAGAAAGCCAAGCCATTCCACGCCACGTCACACCTTTTCGAGGCGAAATCTCTGTCCTGAAGTTTCTCATGTCCTTGCTCGAAGAAGAAGAGCTTGATCCAGAAGATCCGAACTACAGGCACCGTCGAAAGTAGCGTCACAGTTTGAGATAGGGTTCGAAGAATACACTGCTTGCACTGCAGGCAGAAATCCGAGGAAGTTGTGGAACACAAAGCCTCCACAATCCGACGCATGGTGGAGGAGCTGAGCCCCAAGATCATCTGCGACAAGGCAGCCCGTGAGATGGGTGGCATATCGGCACTTCGCTTGCTTTGGCCATCTTGGCCAGTGGGGCCTTAGCAGCTGAATGTACTGTCATCCTCATCCTCGCAGGTCATCACTCACTGGAACCTCTCTCCGGAGGTCCACGACCCCGCCAACATGATCAAGCCAGTTCAGGATGCTGATGAGGTAGTGGAGAACGACACAGCTGTGCCCTACCAGCATTAGTCGTTATCTTCAAGATCGCGTCTCCAAAAGCGATGACAGCCAGGAGGCGGTCATCCGAACAAAAGGCGAGAAGGAGTCCACAGACTATACGCTTCCAGAGCAAGAGGACTTTCCACAATGTTCGCAGTCATATCCAGCTTGCAACATCGTCTCTTTTCATGTCTTCCCAGCGCCGGCGCATTCGAACATCGTGACACTCTACTGCATACTGCGCCGTATGCATCGTTATTTGGACTTTCAATCTTTTCAGGAGCACTGCCTGGAGATCTGCTTCTTATGCTGGGCGCTCTTCGAGGGAATCCAACAAGCTCCAGAGTTTTCAAACCGGAATTTGATGGAAGGAGGGGTGCTGTCATGGTGCTGTCTTCGGGATGATGGTGCACGCAGGCATTGTAGTGATCTGACTGCAACAGCGAGGAACTCTGGACCGCAAGATGAAGAACCCTGTTCTTCACAGTCGCAATCAGCACCCTGGCTTTTGAATGAAACTCTGCAGATGTTCGCTGTTCACGTGTAATGTTGCCAGCATACCACAATGCACAGTTTGAGCACTCCGCCGGCACTGTTACTGGCAAGCGAGTGTGTTCTGCAGATGGCCGCCTGTTGAGGTGGGCCACGTCGAAAACAAAGATCTACGACACCTTCAACGACGCTTCGCCGCAATTGCACAACATTGTCGCAACTTGCACAGCAAGCGAAGGGCATAAGTTGTGTGCGAGCCGTGTGGCACACTGTCACTTGCAGGACGGCGTGAGCAAGATGCATCACAGATGCTCGACATTAGAATCTGAGTTTGCTCACTCGCAGTGACTTATTCAAGAGAAGCCTCTACAGCCCTGCAGCACTTGCATGTCCCAGGCAAGTATCTGCACTTCCTTTTCGGCCGAGTCGAAATTCAGCGTGGTCAGCGATTGCAGAAGTTGTTCTTCTTGGTTCCTGCAGCCATTCGAACTTTGAAGGGGCAATCACTCATCAAGGACTGAAGGAAGAGAGTAGAAGCATTAATCCTTTTTTTCTCGGTAGTGATGCTGACTGACTGAACGCTCCTTGGCCAGGATTGGCAGGAAGGTTGCATCAATTCCGTCGACCGAAGCGGCCCCGAAGCCAAACTCCAGGATTTCTCGGATGGCGTTTGGGACGAGTGCCTCGAACACATGCTTTGGCCACCAGCTTCTGCAAAGTCACTTCACAGTGTCAGGTACATTGGCTTCGTGGAACACCAGTACAACCTTTCTCAGAAGCCGTTTCCACTGAAGCTTTGAAGCACTCAGTCTCCCAGCCTTCTGCAGTTAATGCTTAAGCATCGCCGCCATGTCGCTGCAGTTTGCGACAAAGGAACGCATCGGGAGAGGTAATGGCTGCAGCGCGCAGCATCATCGTGCTCCTCACCATCATCATCACAAGCCGGCTGCTTAATCTTCCATGCGGTCACATGGTTGCCTTTGGTGCACACCATGTGCAAGGCAGCGTTGCCCTTGTCTATGACGGCTCCTATTCCAAAGAGCACCGAATGGGCGAGTGCGCCGCTGTGTTTTGTTCCAGACTCTGGCGCCAACCAGGAGGATTGATGCATCGTATGCTAGACCTCGTCAACGTGCTGATACATCACTGGGGTCTTCATCCTGAAGGAACTGAAAGCTGCTTTCGTAGTGAAAGATCATGCAAAGCATCACAGATCTCCCGGAGCAAAGGACGTCTTGTTGAAATTTTGAGATTTCAACTGTGGGAAGCTCCGTCCTGGCAAATTGGTCCGGCAAGTAGAGAGCCGGACAGCGCGTGTTGCTTTGGTGTTTTGTGCATTTGCCAGGTACGACGTGCACTATGCCAAGGCTGGTTTCTGAAATTTCTCGTGGGCAGGAGGGTGTGAATAGACAGAGAACAACGGAAGATGAAAGGAGGCACAGGTGAGGAGGATGCGGGAGCGCGGGGAAGTAGGATGTTTCCTGCCTTCGTCTTGTGATGGCGTGACCAGCCTGAGCCCAGCCTCCATAGTCACAGCTAGTCTTAAGTACCGAGATCTCAAAACCTGGCAGGATTGGTACGTGTGGGTCCTGTCCGGGACTCACCTCTGCGCTCAACACACGTGAGAGCTGCACTTGTGAAATTGTCTGGGGGGGCAGCTTCTTCCTGCAATTGAGGACCGGCCTCAGCACTGCACATTTCATCTGCGCCGTGCTTCTGACTCTTTTCCATGTAGGGTGCTTACTAGTGCGTACATTTCTAGGTGGAAAATAAGATCATGCTTTTGCTCAAGTTGGGCGCGGGGCCCAGGTTGTTGCATATTCCCAGTGGAAGATCGACACCGGCTTGGACCAGTGGAAGGAGGAAAACCCGCATTCGCATCACAGGCTGAACTGGCGCGTTTCCCCACAATGGGCCAGCAGGGCTAAAGCTCATAAGCAGAACTGAAGCAGCTTCCTCCTATTTCCTGCCATTCAGCTTCCAACAGCAATGCCCTTGCGCTGCAGGTTGAATGGGATATTCGGTGCTATTCTGACCCTCTGGTTCTTCCTCCAGGCCCAGGTTTTACCCCCAAAAGTTCAAAAAATCCGATTGTGGCATTTTACTAGATTTTACTTCTGGCACCGAGAGGCACTTCCTAGGCATGAGACTGTTGATCGGCGAGAAACCTGTCCAACAGGATTCTGGCTTGGTGAACAAGCTGTTCTTGGCCGGTATCTCCTTCTTGGGTCTGCACTTCGATTTTCTGCCGCCGGGCTGCAGTGCATCGAGAGTCGCCTTGAAACCCTCATGCACCTTGCACGCCTGAAAGCCAACGACGCTTGTTGAGGATATTCTCCATCCATCTCATGTACGTATGCGCGCAGGCCGCGCTGCTGTGTCTGAGGATGAGGGTGGATAGCAGCACAAGTCATCTGACGTGATAAGTCGTTTCTGCACGAAGATCACAAGATCACAGTCCCTCGTCGCCTCATGCAACCCTATCTGCCTATGCTAGGAAGACTTCCCCACTGAGTGAACATGGTCTTGTGTCAAAGGGACGGCCACAACGCAGGTTGAGACCCTCGGCAAAGTTTTCGAGGCTCTCTGGATCACCAAGAATGAGGTTGTGGGTGCCCACGTTTGCATGTAAGCGCTCGTGCTACACGTAGTTGAGGCTGCGCATGATGGCCAGTGTGCAGTTTGTTTCTTGACAAGGTACAGCTGTGCTGGGCTTCTGCGTCCCTTTCTGAGAATTAGTTCCTGCACATGCCTAATTCTCACCCAGATTGCAACAGGTCCAGTATTGCTTCCTGGTGCTTGGCTTCCTGACGTTCCCGAAAGGCTATGGCTTTGCAGTACCTGTGCAGCAGGGTGTTGTTAGACTCTGTTAGACCATGTGGTTGCGAGTCATGTTTCTAATGAAGATGCGCGGATGAGTTGCCAAGGATATGGACACCTCGGAGTGCTCATCGTTGATGGAGTGCCTGCACCCGGGCAGCATTCGCGCAAAGATGCCAGAGCAGAAAAAGAGTGTGGAAAAGAGCCAATCTTTGCAGAGGCTCGCCCATCTGGACTATGGATTCCGTTCAGGACCTGTCTGGAATTCAGCAGAGTTGACCTGGTGGAGGCACCTCGATGACTGCAGTACCGGTAAGGTTGACTTTGGCTTCTCTGAATCTCAAACCATCGGTTCTGGACACCTACTCCTCGTACAGTATCCGTTTCGTGGCTTTGCAGGTTCGCTTTCGACTACCTGTACAATCTGGTGGTGATCCTGATCCTGGCTGCCATCATCTCCGGGATCATTATTGATACGTTTGCCAACATGCGAGCTGACCTGTCCGAGAAGAATGACGATCAAGAGAACAACTGCTTCATCTGTGGCATCAATCGGTCACAGATGGAGAGACAGATGGTCAAGTTCGAGCATCATGTTTTTCAGGCTCGCCATGGCCACAGTCGACTGTTGAAACAAGTAAACCTAACTAAACGGATGCGCGAGCTAGACATGACTGGATATTGCCTGTGCCAGGAGCACTACATGTGGAGCTATGCCCGGTTCCTTATGCCGCTCGGAATCCATGACATGCACGTGAGCCGTCAGGTTGTCTTCTGAGAGCCCTCTTCGGGTCTAGAGGTATCTCGGCTATCTTTGGCTCAACCAGGATTAGCTTGGCTCTGCTTCCTTGCATTGAACTTGCCCCAGCCACCCGGCCATGAACGTAATAGCCAGCGAATCGGACTCAGGACCCCCCCGGAGCAGAACCCTCAAACCTGAAAGTCCCGCCATCATTTGGAGACCCTAGTTCCAAACCGCTTCCTTCCCGCCACGACGAAAAGAAACACGACAACAAATACCAATAGTAGTCGTCGTAGCCGTAGTGGTCGTGGTCGTGGTCGTCGTAGTAGTAGTCGTCGTCGTCGCGGTAGTGGTCGTGGTAGTGGCAGCAATAGTCGGCCAACAAGCTGAAGAACGTCTCGTCTCCACTAGTCTCTAATGTCTACATACATCCTTGGGGTGGTGCACGCTTGAACGGTACTGTATTGACTCAGTCGGTCGATGGGAAACGCAGAAACACGCCAAACGAAGCAATTTCATTGTAGTTCCTTGTTTGTGTCCTTGTCTTGCGCATGCAGTCAAGGTATCTCAAGCAAGCGAAGGATTCTGAATTGAATGGCCCGGAGTCATTTGTCAAGGCAAAAGTGACGCAGCAGGCCCGATCAGACCAAAGGGCCTCCGGAGTCAACTAGCCACAACATGATATTTGTGAGGACTACACCTTCTATCCAGTTAATCGGGCTTTGACGCTGGATTCGGATGATGCAGAGGCAGGGCTGCAGCAGCTTGAACTCCCCGGAACGTCGGCCAGACACAGCTACCCACACGTGGAAGCAAACATCAAGAAACGAAACTGTCAACACGAAATTGCTCTCATTCGGGCACCATCGCCGCCCTCTTACGACTGCTTTCTCTTCGATCGTGCACTTCCCTGCTTTTCCATGAGCAAAGGCGCAACTTGAGAGCAAGTTATGCTCTGAATAGCAATTGGTGCAAAGCCTCCACTTGGCACTGATCGGCACAGGACTACACGGAGCGACAGCTTCGCATCAAAGACTTGGATGAGATGCGCGGCTCTGCACGATGCTCAAGCGGGTCCTTTGAAGAGCACATCCGCATGGTAGGCTGTCTGCAACAAGGTGCGTCAATGCACGGAGACCTCTCAGCACATCTTGCAGCTCAAACGGGAACTGAAGATGCTTGGCAGCTCGAGACACCCCTCCGCCCCCCCTAGGAAATCGTCACATGTTTATGGCTTGTAGCTTGTTGGCGAGAGGCTTGCCCACGGCTTGGGTAGGGTGGTGGGAGCTGCCAAGAAGTCAGGAAGGCAGCGCAGAGAGCAAAATCACTTTGGTGATTCCGCACGAATTTGCACGGGTTTTTGCCGCACCCTCGGGACTGGCCCACAGGCGGGTAGCAGGAGGGGGTTGACTGTCGGCCGCAGGCCGAAGCGAATTAAGACTTGAATTGACATTCTGGGTCTTGGAATCCCACATTCCAACGCGGAAGCTACTGGGACGCGAATGCGTCATCCCCATTGTACAACTACCCGATGAGGGGGCCATCCTGTCGGCAGGCAGTTACGGCTTCTTCGCCGTCGTCTTCTGTCGCGAGACTCTCAGCGGAATTCTCTGGGGGTGGGCAGTCCAGAAACACTTCTCGGCGGGACTCTTGCGGGATTCCCTGGGGGTGAGCACTCTACAGATACTCGGCGGGGCCTTCTGGGCACTCCAAAGGCAATAAGTGGGATTATTTGCGGGGTTTTCGCGGTGATGGGCACTCCAGGAATACTCGACAGGGCAGTGTGGGCTTCTAACAGCGGGCACTCCAGGCATCAGGCCAGGAGACGGGACGCCGGACGAGAAGGTGAGAAGGGTCGATTGAAAGTCAAACAACCCTACACAGAGCGTGGGGAATAACATGAATCATAATGGGGGCACGCCCTGCAAAAAATGATTACATTGGGGCGAAGTTTCCTAAGGGATCCTTCGTATGAAGCCTATGACCTGCAAAGGAGTCTCCAGCATTCGGGCGGGGCGGGGGGGGGGATAAAAGCCTAAGCCAGGCTTTTTCATACTGTGTCAAGGGAGGAGAGTGCGGGATGCCTTCTATCCCCGGAACAAACTCGCAAGGTTTCTGAGAGCGGTGCCGCCGGATGGGCCCCACCGATCGAGCACTCAATCGGCGTGATCCCAAAGTAAATAAGAGAAGACACCCGATCTTCAAGATGTTTCTGACTCGGTCCTGGAGATCAAGTATTCACTGCCCCCTGTAATATCAGTCTGAGCCCCCATCCCTCAACGAGGAAACATACGAAGATCTTTGGGAGTACCAAATTTGTTCACAGACCTTGTCAGAATGGCTCTTGACAAGCGAACTTCCACCGAGATTATGTTCGAGTGCCATGCCTGTAAGCAGTTCTTGCTGCTCGGCTTAAGTCGGTTCCTGCCCTGATAAGGACCGTCATGAAGGAATCCAATGAAGCTGCGGCGATCTCAGAACATGGCAAACCCTTTTTGGATCAGGAACGTCTTACCAGGGCCAGACTATGTGAGACCCAAGCCGGAAGCCTGTCTATGTGCATGGTTTGCAAGGTTGCTGACATGCAGATGCGCCTGCAGCTACTGACGGGAGATGTGCACAAGAAGGCCAGAGCTCGGCTTGCGCCCCTTCCAAAGCAGCCATACGGATCCACACGAGAACATGGTCGGACCCCTAATATGCACAAAGCAGGTTCAAGAAGCGATGCTTCAAAAGGCAGCTCAACAAGCCGCAGGCTGGTCCCCCCCCTTCATTCTGTGGTCACTGTGGTCACACTGCATATTGCTCTCATGCTCTGTCAGGGCTGAAAAGGGCAGTAGCGCAGCACAGCCAATAGCAGTAGAATGTAGCACTACATTGGTGGGAGGAGAAAAGTGACGGCGAGTGAAAGCCGGGAAGCATCGAAGATCTTGCCCATCAATGAGATGACCCTGGAACAGTGCCATGCATGGCAACAAGTTCCTTGGGAGCAATCGTTCAGAAAAAGTAGGGTCGTGATCTTGTTCGCACCGTCGGTGCGGTAAGTGATTTCGAAGGTCAAAGTTCGCCATGGCAGGCACGGAAGCGGTGAAGGATTGAAGCACTGGCCGGCGAGGAGGGCTCTATTTGCCCAATGCCTGGGTTCGATGGGCCAAGCAGGATGCGTCTGGACATGCACAAGCCGAAGATCAGCAGACCAACCGTCCTAGATCGAGGCCGGCCATCGGCTATCGTGCCGTCACAAAGACGAGATACGACGAGTCAGAAAGCTGGCGACGACTTCAAGCTGAGGGCTGAGGACAGGGCTCCGTCGATCAGGTTGCGTTGTTCATCGTCGGCACTATCTGACGCCGGTCCTCGTACGCGGAAAGGGCTTGGGATCGAATCTCTCGGGGGCTCGCCAAGAACCGGTATCGGCCAAAGTGAACTGGACTGAATTGAAAAGGAGTGCCGAAGGCCGAAGAACAATCTAAAGCGAGCATCCAAACCCAGTCCCGGTGACCATTCAGTTCATCGTCCAGAGCCGACTTGATGTGCATAGCATCCCCCCTAGCCAAAGATGCTAGGAGTCCTCTAGCTCTGACAAGCTAGGAAGGACAAACCTCATGCCAGGTGCATGAGCTGTACATTTGTGCATAGCATGTGGAGCTGGGGCACTATGAGCTCACAGGGTCACAAGGCATGCACCTTATCCAGCGGGCATGGTGCACAGAGCAGTTGCTGAAACCGTGTCGCACAGTCGCGGAGCGTACCTATGTGGCCCAAGTCCAGGTGCAGATGCTTTTGCATGAACTATTGCATGTTGAGTTGATGTAGTTCTGAATACAGTTGCAGGAAGATTTTGGGGTTGAAGCGCTCTTCTAGAGGTTTGCCAGTCAGTCAGCCAAGCAGCCTTGCGACAAGACATGCCAATACGCCATAGAGCGAATGAGTTCTTCCCAAACCACAGCCTGGCCAGTCGACGTCGACGCGTCCTCGTGGCAACAAACGCTGGCTTCCACGGCAAAGGAGCGTGAAAGAATTGTTGCCAGCTTAAGGCACGAGCTTTCCTTGTTGGAGGGTCTCACCAGCCAGACTGTCGCTGCACTATCACTGTTATCCTGTCCTCCGTCATTGGTTGGAAATGGATCTCCGCAGTCACCTGTGCGGTCGCCCATGACATGGATGCATGCCCCGGGCGCCTCGTCTCCGTTACGCCCGCACAGCCCACAACGCCCATATCCCCTGGTTCGACCTCCAAGCATTCCTCCAGGCGTTCCTCCAAGTGTATCGAACGTGGGCATCGGTCCAAGCCCGGTGCACGCGCCACAAGGTCGCCCACAGTCAGTACACTCAGTACAGTCGCTTGCATCACCGAGAAGATCAGCTTCGACGCCGTCTTTGAGATCCAGCTTGAAACCCAGCACAACCAGTATACCCACTCCTACAGAAGCTCGTGCTAACGCGACTGCTTCTAGCTGTCAGCCAATGAGATCCAAGACAAAGCACGAGGTGTTGCGAGCCCAAACAATCCGCTCGAACAGAACTCCACTGCCGGCTTGGCCACGAAGCAGTCCGAGCAATCCGAGCAATCCCTCACTAGGGCCCGCTGAGCCGGTGCAGACTCCTCCGCGTCCACGGCCCCTCGTGCATCTCTGACTGCTGTAGCTCAAGCATTCTGCACTGCTAGCGCTTCCCCCCATTTCAGATGTTTTGGCCAGAGTTGGACGTCAAAGTACGTTGGAGCTCCAAAGATGTCCAGAGGAGGCAGGCGCTGCAGCGTGAAGAAGAGACTTCCCGTCTAGTCGCAATTTCTTGAAAAGCATTGAGCTGCCGGCAACGGACTGCGAGCCCATGGCTCTAGGATGCTCAAGGCAAGACATGATAGTCATAGCCTACTGGAGCCCCTCTCAGTCTAGGCACTGCCCTGAGCCAACTCAGAAGCTCAGACAGGGGAGTTCTCCCTTCAGCAACCCGGTTCAGCAGCTCATGGAACCGGCATGGCCATGACCGCCGAGGAGGACAGGGCACCAGGGCACTGCAAACACAAGTCCTGGTAGATGCGCCAGTGAAGGGAATGGAGGGATGCGCCATGATGCGCTCTTGCGGAGCTGCACTCGCTTGGAGGGAGAAAGGGGTTGGACAGAGGCCCAAAAGCTCCGCCTCTCTTCGCTGCAATGGTCGTCCTGATGCAGGCAACAGCCTTTTGCTTCCTAGACCCTGACCGACCTCGCGGTTGCTTGCGCCACCATCAACTAGACGCCCTCAAATTTCACTGAGAAGCAATCACGTTATTTTACTCGTACATCATTCTCCAACCGTTGTGTGAGGATCCAGAGGAAGCAGCGGCGTGGGTCAACCAGCTCAGACTTTTGGAAGGTTTTTGTTCTGGAGAATCTGACGGTCGATTCTTCCAACTTGTAAGGTTTGTTGCACATTTGGAACTTGATGAGGCTGCCTTGCGAGAAGCCTTTGGGGAGCCCGGAAGTGCCGGATCCCGGCCTCGAGATTCGAGCAGGTGCGTGATGGTGCGTGCATTGGGCACGCATGCAGTGTGTGCAGATGTGCGAATTGTGCGAAGCACATCCCACGTCGACTTCGAACGCAGGACTAGCCCCAGCTCACCGACAAGACCCACAGTGAACAACGCTTCCGGTCTCAAAATCCAGCCTGCTGTTTCCAGGCGTGGAGTGAAAGACGCTAGGCTGCTAGTTGCAGTAGCATGGCATGCCGATTCGGCGCGACATTCCACCCACAACTACTCACATGACTTAAAATAGTGTTAGTGCAGGTCAAGGAATGGCGCCACGAGCGGACGACAAGGTCGACTGCGAGGACCCTTTTTGTTCCATGAGACGTAAATCTACTGGTAGCTTCGTCTGGCTTAAATCACCATGACGAACCGTGGCAGTTGCCTTCCTGGCCTGCAGATCACGACGGTGCGCAAGACTCCGCGGGTCATTGGCTTCAAGCCGAGGCACGAGCTGCCATGTATGGCACTGCGAGCTTGCAGGTTCACTTGGGTGGTTGTCAAAATGATGGCCCCTTTTTTGGATCCCTATTATATTACGGCACCTAGTATTTAGGGCACCCCAAAAGGGAGCATAATTTTGACAACCACCCATTAATGACTTCACACCGATCTCCAGGTCGATCGACTGGTTGGGGAGGTTCAGCGCGTTGCTGGACAGCCTTTCTCGGCCAAGTTGCGCCTTGAAGGCACAGGAAGGGTCCGCAAGGGATCACAACAGAGGGCCCACCATGAAAAACTGCAAGCCCAAACCCAATCACGAAGCTGAGGATACAAGCGCTGTGGCGATTACCTCTGGAGGAACAACAAGATGCGTCAGGTCCTCGTTTGGAAAGAGCCCTGGCTGTAGGGATGATGATCATAGGAGTTGCCTGCATCAAATGCTGGCAGCATGTCAACATCGGGACACCGCCCTCAGCTGGTTCCTTGCATCATCCTGGCTCGCCGGTTCGCACTTGGAACTGATCTTCTTGCAGGCTGAGAACTGCAGAGAAGACACCTCGTGACACCTCTGCTCCTTTCTTTCTGTTCTTTTTCAAGGCTGCTGGGAGCCTGCGCGCTGAGCTGCAGAGGTTTCAGCCTTCTGTTGCAGCCGTGGTGCGATGCTCGTGATGCCGGCATTCGTGTGAGGTGACGACACCGTTTGGCAGGTGTTGGCAGATGAGGCGCTGGAATCTCAAGAGTTCCAGTGATGGCACATCTCCAGCCCATATCCCACGTCAGGTGCATGCCAGGGGTGACAAGCACTCGGCCCGAGCCCAGGCTGCTCTTGTACTTAGAGCACCTTGTCATGTAAGGGGTACTGAACCCGTTAACATCGTCGTTATCGACGGCCGTCTCTTGTCACTCCTGCTAAGTTGGGTCCGGCGCCAGCTCCGCCTGAAGCTCGGAAAGCCAAGTTTGATCAATGAAGCTCGGTGAACTTGCTGTGCCGAAAGGCCTCCTACAGATTTTCAAAGAACAAATCCGTTTAACACCTGCAGTTCACATGTCAAGGCCAGGATCTCGGCAGCTCAAGAAGACGAAAGGCCGAATTGGTGTTTTGCACAGCGAGAGAACTGGACAAGAAACGATTCAGTCCGGAGGGCCTCGAGAAAGCCATTGCACACCTCTTCGCAGCTTGCACGCTGCTTTGAACATCTGGGGGTTTACGAAAATAACCCTAAAAATTGTAGGATCCCCTGATCATTTGGACCCCAACAAGGCACCCCTAATCCCGGAAACCCTCACATCTGGGTCACCTGGCAAGGCCCGTCTTCTCGCCCGCGCTCTCGTTCACGATCGCCCTCGATTTGATTCGAAAAAGGGAAGCCACGGAGCGTGCGAGACGCAGTTCATCATCTCTGGTGCATGGCTGGAAGCAGCCAACAGAGCATAACCAGAGCCAACATGCACCAAATGCACCAATACGACCATGTTGCTAATGGTATCAGTTGCGTGGCCGTTTGGGCTCATCTTGCAAGTGCCCCGTGCCTGCTGGAAAACCTCGGCTGCTTTGGCCGCACATTGGACATATCGTTGCTGCACAGGTACTACACTCATAATGACCCCTGGGTGAATGCCTCTGCAAGTTGCTGACAGACATCGGGTTCAAGATGATTCGTGAACAGGCAGGTCAGCACAACCTACAATACCTATTTGGCCCGGGCCCTTGACAACCAGTGCTGATCAAAGAAGTGAAGGGTGCATCTCTTTGACTCACCCTTTTGTCAATAAGGCCGAAACTTCCACGACTGGAGATGACATCCTGGCGTTCGGCCCTGATAAATGAGCTATGACACGGACTTTGCGTCTTGGAAGTTGCAAAGCTCAGGTAGAAGCGTACTACAACTCGTGATTCTTTGGGTGACGCCCAGCTTTGCCAAGAAAAGCCAGTGAGATTCTCAACATTTTCTGTTCGAACTGCATGGCATTTCGTGGCTGCTGCCAGCGCAGCAATGCGAACCCGCAAGCACCACCCTTCCAGGGGGTGCCTGCCACTGGCATGCCTTCACGTGCATGCTGCAGCCAACACAACTTGAGCGAGCTAGATTCTACATGCAGCGTCAACTCCCCTCTTTGTGGAAGACGGTCGATGCAGGTTGGGCCTGAACTGCGGCAGCACCGGCGCTTGCGATGCGCGAGCCTTTGTCGAGAGTGTGTCCAGAATATAGCAATGAACATTCAGTACTTGTACGTCACAGCCTACACGCTAAGGAGTTCGAAGTGGAGCTAGCTGAGGAAGAGCTAGCATCAGAAATGCAGGCAAGGTATGGCTTTGCAGCCAGCTTTTTGTTCGAGGGTTGTGCATGTTTCCGGCAACACATGGCTGCCATAGCTCTAGACAGGCTTGTTCAGGCACATCACACACAGGCAAACGAACACAGACGTACTGCAGATGCGAAAGCAGCCCATTTGTTCCACAAGTCTGGCATACAGCAGAAGCGTTGAGCAAGCAAGTTTGTGTATGCAATGATGCGGTGGCCCGTGCGCCCCAAATAGCTGCACACCCAACAACAGTTCACAGATGTCCGTGCTGGTTCCGCTATGGCAGGTCGAGCTCTTGCAGAGGATGCCAATGGACATTCGCCTGGCAGCCAGTGCAGAAGCCAAAACCTTGGCTGGATTCTATACGCTTCAGTGGGATGTGCGGAGCGTTCGCTGTCCAGGCAGCAAGAACAGGACAAGCAGCGCAAATTGCCCAGAGCAAGGCATGTCTCGTGGATCACTTGGCCTTGAACTTGGCTCGGTGGTGCATCCAAAAGCGTGCAACACAAACATTGCTGTTGCATGGTGCTTAGCCAGGTCGGATCCTGGCATGTCGAGGCAAAATTTTCCGCTTGTCCCGTTGTTCAGCGCTGTCGATCACTATGCCTCATGCAAAGTGCACCCCAGTGCACAAAATTCTGCCAATTGACTTGCCAGAATGCTTTGGGCATTGATGGTGTCACCGTGCTCCTTCAAATCTCGCCAAGGCTGTCAGACCTTGACACACGACCTGCGCAGTTCAAGCTGTAAGGGTGTCGATCGCAGGTCGTCTAGTGCTTGTCACGAAGCTCGCATCCCAGACTAGAAAGATGTGAAGGAATCAAGACACAGATGGGCAAACCAAGCACACTGCTTGATGTGAGGTTGTGGGTGAGATACACTACCTGGGAAAGCAGACACAGCCTTCGACTGAGCCTAAATTAGTTCGTCCATGCGGCAGTCCCTCAACCCGGCTACAGATTTTAGCGGCAAAGTTCCAGAGATAGTCGCTTCGGAGACGCAACATATTGAAGTGGAAGAAGGTATTCCATCTCTGCTGCGCCGTTGGACAATGGCAAGCTGCATGTGAAGTACCTCAACAAGCAGGAAC